CCTCTGACTCGTGGAGAGGAGACCCCCATCCCTATAGAGCCTGGGGAGTTACCACAAGGCATGCCGTCCCCTCTGCCAGCATCCCTGCCGGTAGCCACCCTGCTCCCTGGGTGGCTGAGGGGGAGGAGGGGCTCCAAAGAGCAAACACTCAGCTTCTTGCCAGGGACTTGGGTCGGCGGTGGAAGCATGCGAGGCCTGGGGTACCTCCAAACTGGTTTGGGTACCCCACACACAGAGTCAGCGAGCACCTGGGCTGGGTGAACAGGCACCGCTCCCGATTTCTCACTCAGCCGAGAATCGGGTTTGCTTCCGTAAGAGAAGGGTTGGCGGGATTTGGGGGGCAGGGGGGGTAGGTTGAAGAACTGCAAAGATTTAGTGCACCTTAAAACGAAAGGACATCTAACCTGCCCTTAGACCTCACTCCAAGACAGAAAAGAGCTACGGCATCTCCTACACTCACAACTACTCCAAACACACCCAGACGCATGCAAACCGTGTCCTGCTTCCCCTCGGCTGCAGAGAACCCCTCCCGGGCAGCAGTGCTGGCCAGCGCCAGGCTCTGGCTCAGTGCCCCAGCACTGCCAGCTCCCACTCCGTTCCCATGCCCTCCCGCCCAGTCCCAGCAGCCAGGGCGAGGGGTCGATTATCGATCCGAAATGCATAGGTATAGACACCGCGGAGACACCTGCGCCCCGGCAGGAAGGGTCACTGCAGCAGCCCCCCGTGTCCAGCAGGCACGGTCTCCGCTTCTACCTCCAGTTGGGTGGAAAGCAGCATTTGCCACAGGCATGGTTCGATCGCACTCGTGCTCCTTGCATTGCCCTGCAAGGAAAGATGAGTCGTTTAGGTCAGCAAAGACAGCCTCTTTGCCAGCCGCAAGCCCCTAGAAGTACTCAATTCTGCTTCCTGGGAAATCCTCCAGCTCAGCGATCCCTCTTCCGCACCCCTGTGCTGGCCAGGCTCTCTTTCTGACTAAGGAGGAGCCGTGTTTCCAACCACAGCTACAAAGGCAGGAGAACCCAAGAGGTCTGCTTTGGCTCAGAAACCCCGTTCGTTTGCAACAGGCTGACAGCACCCAGGTCCTCACGTGCGCACCCCGGTGCTGCTCTACTTGGGAGGTATCACGACTATAGGCTGGCCTCGCTTGGGTCTCCACATGAGGACTTGGGCATCGTTGGCATTGGGTTTCACTAGTGCGTTTGGTGGGATGGGCTCCATCCTGCTGAGGATCCGGGGCTGCTCCTGCTGAGTCCTTCCCACCAGCCGTGCCCGCTGCCCCAGCAGCTGCATGGGATCAACCTCAATGTCCACTCGCATCCTCCACTTTATAGTCTGCAAGATGATCTTTTCCTTGGTGGTGGTGTTCATGGCCACCAGCCACGTGGTAAAGCTCTGGTCCCTTTTAATCCTGGTCAGCAGCGGCACGTTACTGTTGCTCACAGGGACAGCCCATGTCACGCTGGGGTAGAAATTGTCATTCATGCTCACCGAGAACCTGGAGATCTTGTTAGTGGGCCCGACCAGGGTCACAGTTTCTGTGGTGTTTCCGTACCAGGGGTAGCTCACACCATCCGAATCGCTGATGGCTTTTACTCTTCCTTCTCTCAGGTCGGGCAGCTCCCAGCTTGACCTAGAGAATGGGAAGAGAAGGGCCACGTTAGCAGGGAAGTGGCAGTGACAGCGCCCAGCAAGGGACGGGGAGGCAAGCGGCATGGGGACCCTCTCCCCGCCTGCAGCAAGCTCTCAAGGACCTCCTTCAAGAGCAAATTCAGCTTTGGTTCCTTCGCCAAGTCCCTCATGGCCAGTTGAAGCCTTTGCTCTGCCAGCACAACACTATTTTAATTAACCTGCAATCAAACCAACTGGGCCAAAACTCATTGCTGAGTCTCTCTGGGGTCACCCTCTCCTTAATCGGCTCCCGCGCTGGAGGGGAACAGCCTTCCCCATCCACCAGCCCACGGCGACCCCGGCACGGGCCAAGCCTGTCAGCAGCCCCCTCTTGCGATAAAAGCCCGCGATTTTTATGCCTCTAAATACACGTGCCTGCACAGAGTCACGTACAACGAAATACCACAATTACGCCTGCCGCCGGTGCGGTGAAATCCCTGCAATATGGCTGGGGGGAAATTCCAAAGCTTGGCTGCCGACCACACTAGCAACACCGCATGGCTAGGGAAAGGGAGACGATCGCCACACGGTAATTACAAGCGGGGAGCTTGGGTGAAATCTCCCACCGAGTCTGAGCTCTGGCTTCAAACGCGTCTGGGCTCTGGAGGTGCCTGTGAGTGGCAGGGGACACGCAGCCGCCATCCCCCCGACAAGGGATGACCTCCGCTCATCCCAACGTCCCCAAGCGCTCCGGTGCCACAGACAAATGAAGCTGCTGTGATGCAAGGACGTGGGGAGGCAGCATGAGGACCCACTGCTCCTCCAGTGCCCGCGCACGCTGCCCTGTCTGCTGCTCCACGACGGCATCCCGGGAACCGGCAGCCCCCGGCGAGCTGT